TTTTTTTTTTTTGCACCACCTGCAGCAGCCTTGAGTACTTTTTGCCGGCCCCTTTATTGGGGCGCGCCGAATCGGCACGTTGTAAAACATGTCCTCCACCGGATTCGTGGTGCCGCGCGTGCCGGCGCAGGGACGCGGCTCGGCGGGCTCGCCTGGAGGGGTGAGGTGGGCAGTGGAGGGGTGAGCAGTGGTGAGCAGTGGGTGGGTGAGCAGTGGCGAGCAGTGGAGGGGTGAGCAGTGGCGAGCAGTGGGTGGGTGGGCAGTGGAGGGGTGAGGTGAGAGGGAGCAGTGAGCTCGCCGGGCTTCGGCGGCACGAGGAGCCCGTCCGAGAAGGAGGCGCGGTGCGCACACGCCGCGTCGGCTGTCATGGAGGTGACGGAGACGTGCGCGACGTGCGAGATCGAGGCGAGCGCCTCGCCGCGGAAGCCGAAGGTCTCGATCTGCGACAGGTCCTCGTACTCGCGCAGCTTTGAGGTGGCAAAGCGCTCGCATACGCGCGGGAAGTCGGCGCGGTGGATGCCGTGCCCGTTGTCGCTGATCTGCAGCAGCTTGAGCCCGCCCGCCTTGGAGGTGACCGAAATCGAGGTGGAGCCGGCGTCGAGGGAGTTCTCGAGCAGCTCCTTGAGCGCGCTGGAGGGCCGGTGGATCACCTCGCCCGCGGCGATGCGGTTCACGACCTCCTGCGAGAGCGCTTGTATCGAAGGAGAGGACATGGGACGCCGCGGCAGCCAAAGTGCCAGCAGCCTGGCGGGGCAAGGCAGAGCGACCCTTCAGCGCGCGAGTGATGGCAATAACGACAGGCGCTGACACGCCCGCCGCTGAAATGATGACGAGATGGTGCCGCGATGGGACGGTGGGAGGGAGCACGCGCGAGTCGGTGGCGCGAGACGTGGATCGCGCTGATGCATCGTGCGCAGGGGAAGAGGAGGGGGCGCGAGCAGGGAGGCATGCTGATGTACCGCCGGCCATTCGCGCTCGAACTCGAAAAGAATTTAACAATGCACTGCTCGCACAACACTGCGCACTTCTAGCGAGGCCCACAGAGTGGGAGACTCCTATCACCGCCACTGCCACCCACGTGTCAGTCTGCCTGTGGTAGAAGAGACTGCCGGTGAGACGTCGGAGGAAGGTCGCTAGTCGAGAGAGATCGCCAGTGGATAGGGAGTCCACCGTGCTGCGAGCCTGTCGCTGTCCCTTGTCAGGAGCAGGAGAACTAGGAGAGCGCAACCAGTAGGAGGCCCGCGCTTGCCCCCGTGCCGCCGGGTGCAACCTGTCCTATACGAGAGATGGGATTCCTGTCGTGAGGGTGAACCCCCTGCCCAGCCCCCCTCCGTGTCGCGATGCGCTCCCCGCTCCCGTTCCCCTGTGTCCCTGATCGTCCTACAAGATCCTGCTTGTGCAGGTGGGGACCCTGTCCTTCTCCCACCCCTCGTTTGGCGTGTCCGTTGTATTTATTTATTTATACTGGGCACGAAATCCCTGTGTGGTGGCGGCGTGCCGTCCTCCCATCCCTCCCTTGGGTTGTCCGTTTTCTTTCTTTCTTTACAATGGGCACGAAAGAATTTTACAAACTCGAAAAGAATCTGCGGCCTGAAATAAAAGAAACCGGCCGGCCACAGGCACCCCCCTCAGGCCGCACGCCGCACCTCTAGCGAGGCCCGCATGGTATGTGGAGACTCATGCCGCCGCCCCTGCCACCCTGTGTCAGTGTGCCTGTGGTAGTGAGAGACTGCCAGCGAGAAGCTGGAGGCAGGTCGCTAGACTGAGATGAGACCGCCAGTGGAGTTGGGATCCCACCGTGCACCGCGCTGCGAGCCTGTCTTGTCCCTAGGTCAGGAGCAGGAGAGCCCCACCTGTCCCCCTGATCGTCCTTCCAAAATCCTGCTCGTGCAGGTGGGGACCCTGTCCTCCTCCCCTATCCCTCGTTTGGGCTGTCTGTTTTCTTTCTTTCTTTGGCCGGCCCCCACACAGCCGCGGGAAAAAACGCAGCGCCTAGCGCAGCGCCGCGAGTACATGCTGGGAGAAGGAAGGCGCAGGATGAGAGCACAACTTGAGATTCGTGCTTCTTGGGAGCGAGTGCGAGTATGAGGACGCATGCCCGGCGGCCGCCGCCCTCATTCAGCCGCCACGCCTTGATCAACTTGTCGTCGCGCTCCCCGAGTAGAGTTTGTGCCGGTCCCGACGACAGCGCGAGAGCGCGAGCACGTCGCCGCCATGGCCCTGCAGCGTCGCGACGCACGCCCCGCCAGCCGAATCCCGTAGGATCCGGCATCCGGGTCACCAGCAGAGAGCCAGCCGTAGGTGATGGCGCCGGCTGCGCTGCGCCCGCTGCGCACAAGCTCCACAGCCTCCTCATTGCTCAATGTGGGGATGGAGCCACACCGTCCGTTATCTATAGGCAGGGATACCAGGGAAGTGGGGGGGGTGGGCAACAGGGCAAGCAACTGTTGTGAGGGCTCTAGCTTTCTCCATGCACAGACATGAGCTCTATCTCGTGGTTGGGTTCACCCGGTAGGTAGGTAGGAAGGTGAAGAACAGCCAGGCTCGGACTGGACACCAACGCGGTATGGGTGGATGCGGGACAGGAGAGGACGGCACGCTCGAGCGACACACACTCACAATCACTCGAAGGACTGCCAAGGATTGTTCTGCGGTCTCGCGTCTGGCGATTTTGCTACCCTGTGCCGTGTTCGAACGGACAAGAGGGCAATAAAAAAACCGCCGGCAGCGCCTTGTGACCGACCCCTGAACCTCGAGCGCCAAGACACAGGAAGGTGCGCCTCCTTTGCTCGCCGCTGCCGACGAGCGCTAGCACCATCGTCGCCCCGGCCGTGCACCCCACCCACAGCCGCCGCACCTCACCAACTTTCCCTTTGCCGCAGACGATGACCCCTTGTGTTCCGAAAGAGCCGAAGCCGTCGACTGCGTACATGAAGAAGCTCAAGAACGAATACAAGGCCAAGAAGGCCCTAGAGAAGGCCGCGGAGGAGCCCGAGCCCGAGCCCGAGCCCGAGGTCAAGCCACCCGAGCAGAAGAAATCCTGGGGCGGCTGCTGCAAGTGCTTTTTGAAGCCCGCCGAGGCCTCCAGGATGGTCGTGCACACTATGCAGACCATCGCGGACGGCAAGACGAAGGAGGACGTCGAAGCGGCTCACGAGCAGATGGCGTCCAAGGCAGCGGCCGCCGGCTTCACCAGCTGGCGCCGCCGCCGCCTCTCCGCCGCCGCCCTCGCCGCCGCCGCCCTCGCGCCACTGCGCCACCCCTCGCGTGCCTCGCTTGCCCCTTGCCCAGCCCGCCCCCCCACCCTTCCTCCCAGGAGCGCGGCGTGGGACGCGGACGGCACCACCGCCGTCGTGACCGAGGTCTTCGACTCGCCCGACATGTACTTTGCCTTCATGGACGAGCTCGACTTCGAGACGGTCTCTGCCAGCATCAAGTTCGAGGCGCCAAAGCTGCTCTGCACCGAGGAGCAGGCCGCGGAGATGAGCGACCTGGTCAAGAACTTTGCGATGGAGACCTTCACCGTGGCAACGGCGGTCAGCGTCCCGTCCGACTGGGACGAGGCCCCAAAGATGATCGTGTGCGCCCTCCAATCCATCGCGGACGGCAAGACGAAGGCGGACGTCGACGCGGCACACGAGCACGTCGCGTCCAAGGCAAAGGCCGCCGGCTTCACCAAGTGAGCCCGCCGCTCCGCACGCCTCTCGCCCCACGTCCTGCCCGGCGCGTCTCGCCCCTCGGACTCGCTCACGCGCCTCTCTCGCCTCCCGCCTCGCAGCTGGAGCGCCGCGTGGGACGCGGACGGCACGACCGCCCTCGTGATCGAAATCTTCGAAGAGCCCGAGATGTACACGCAGTTCGTCGGCGGCCTCGACATGGCGATGGTCACCGGGAGCATCAAGTCCGACGACGCGAAGCTGGTCTCCACGGCGGAGGAGGCCGCGGAGATGGGCGAACTGATCGCGTCCTTTGGGATGAAGCCCTACACGTTGACCTGCTACGGCTTTGCTGCCTAGACTGCCCCTCCGCGTTGACCTGCTCGGCTTTGCTGCCTAAACTGCCCCTCCGCACCGGGGTGTGCTTTTGGAGTACGTGGTAGTCTAGGGTGACGCGTCACGCTGGGTGGAGGTTCGAGAGTATGACCATTTTTGAACGCTGTTAAAAAGGCCATTTAGTTCCATTTGCATTTCAAAGTGGCACAGATCGCGTTACAAAACCTTGATTTTGATCATTTGCGCCATTTGGTACCACCTCTCGGTGCCTTCCAGAGGCAGCTGCGACGTGCGACCCCGCCGAGTAGACGGCGGCGCACAGCAGGTGGCGCGGTGTGCCGCCGTCCACTCGGCGGGGTCGCAGCTGCCTCTGCGCGTCCTGGGGAGGTACCAAATTGTCGCCGCCGAAGGCGACTCGACGCCGCTGAGATCGGAGATCAAGCTCTGACAGGTCGCACGTCGCTCCTTTGACGCCGACGTGACTCACCCGTGCAGATCACATCAGGACACGGTCTCGACACGCTCGGTACGACGCCCCTGCGACCCGTCTTGGGTCAGGTGCGAGGTGGCACGACGCTCATCGCGCCTACCAGCGCTGCCGTGCAGGTTGCCACGACGAGGTCGAGCACGCTTCTATACGCTCGCCCAGCCTTCCTTTCCATCCCATTAGGTAGCCTGGGAACGATGGCGGTCAGGGTAATGGAAATCTCTAGTCTTTTTTAGAGATTGAGAGCTTAAAGATTTGAAAGACTCCACTCGGGTCTACAGTGCTACCCAGAGATTTGAGACCAGAGATTTGAGACTTGAGACCTCAGTCACTCGGCCTCCGGTGGGATACTTTGAGATTAGAGACCAGAGACTTGGAGAATGAGATTTCCCACACCAAAAGGAATCTGCGGTCGAGTTTGCTCGAGATCCAAGATTTGAGACTGAAGATTTGGACGGCCTTCCAACCTAGAGATTTGAGAGCTGAGATTTGGAGATTTGCGGTGTGAATACTGATAAGAGCCTCGAAGCTTCTAGAAGGGCTGGGTGGGTTTGACCTGCAGGAAGATTGAGGTCTGAGGTCTGAGATTTGAGATTGAGATTTGAGATTGAGATTTGGGGCCCGGGAGATTGGGTCTGAGATTTGAGATTGAGATTTGAGATTGAGATTTGGGGCCCGGGGAGCCTGCGGCGCCATTTTAATCTGCGCTCCTCTTTATGGCCTGCGGCGCCTGGCCTGAGCTTGGATGTGTAAACGAGTCCGCCAGGGCGGTCTGCAAACACGGAGCGCGCTGCGCGCGCGGTCTACGCCGAATCAGATGAGAGGCTTTAGCCGATGCCGCGAACGAGGATATTGCAAACAGGAACGAGGACATTGCAAACCGGAATACTGTATAGGGGCGGGGCTACCAGTAGGTGGCTAGTGCACCGAGGTGGACGACTCGAGCGTTCCTACAGAAACATGGACGCTTGTTGAGACGAGTCCGCGACACTTCCCTGATTCACGGCTCGAATCGCCTGTTCTCGCAGATCAGCCTCCGGCATTTCATGTGTCCGTCAATGATGTAGCACAAGCAGGTTCGACCGCCGTCCTTGGGCTCGAGGCAGACGAGCTCGTGCTCCCTTCCCCACTTGTCGGTGAAGCGAAGCAACGATGAGCGAGTCAGCGTCGAAGCGGCCGGTCTTTGGGTCGCGACGCATGGTGTAGTCTAGCAAGGTCTCGTCGAGGTGGGTGGGCGCGGCAAGTTGGGCAGCGCTTGCAGTAGAGGAGCCCGCCAAAGCGCCCGTGCGTGCAGTATACGGTCGGATGGACGGGCTCGTCGCTGACCACAAGGCACACCTTCTGCCCTTGCAAAGCGCAGACGGCGCAGAACTCAATCTGCGGGACCAGGTGGAGCGGCGTGGATTTCTCCTGCTCATGGAAGCGCTTGCGGTCGAGAAGATCCACGAGAGCGCTGATGCCCGCCTCGCTCTCGATGCTGCTGACGAGGACGTTGATGGTCGTGGACGCGTGCTTTGTTTGCATGTCGGCAGCGATGAGCTCTGCGCGGTCGGGTGTGTCGACTGGGTAGCGGGCCATGCCGAGGAGAAGCGCGACGATCTCGTCCTCACTCTCGAGCGGCCACAGCTTCGTGGAGAACCGCCTCAGGCCGGCGGCGAGATGGACGGTGTCGGCGGCGCAAAGCATTGCAAGCCGAGCGTGCCTCTTTCAGTCTCAATCTCAAATCTCGAGTCACGCTGCCCTATACTCGAGAGAGAGAGATTTTAGCAATACCAAACTTTGTTTGTACTCGAGTAGATTTCGGTGGTCCCGCAAGTGATGTTTTTCGAACGATGCGAGATAAAGGCGTTGGAAGGTTGAGGAAGTTCACAGCATTCTGCATCGAAAACGGAATCTCTCTTGCTTGCAGTCTCAGTCTCTCCCACCCCTCATCGAAATCTCAAACTCCCAAAGCGAAAAGGAATCTTGTCCATTTGAGATCTCACGCGCTTCCTCTAGAAACTCACACCGAGCGACGGGAAGACTGAGATTTCGTGGCTGAAGTCTCGACGAAGATTTGGGAGATCTCAAGGGCGGGACTAGAGACTGAGATCTGCCCTGAAATCTTCAGGTCTCACTCCTCTCAATCTCTAAGAAAGACTAGAGGTTTCCATGACTGGGCGGTCAGAGGCAAAGCCTGCGAGGGGTGGTGGAACCACATGTCACGGCTACTGCCGGCTCGAGACCCCACGATAGCCTCCGGAGGCTGACTTTGAGGCACAATCATCGGACGATGTCGACGAGTTGGGTCGCGCTCGCGGTAGCCAGATGACCCCTCATACTAGGAGCATCGGCCATGGCCGCAGGGAGCGCGGGGGAGGGCGCTGGGAGCAACACGGAGCTCCGTTGGACGCGTTTTCAAGATTAGCGTGTCATCTTGAAATGGAACTAGCCTTTGTGCACGCACTGTGCATGTGCATGTGCTGCGGCTCGTTAAATTCTTTCTCGCCAGTCTGCTGTGAGATGCAGTCGCATCCCAGAATTCTTCCTACCGCGCGGAGGGAGAGGGAGGCGAGGGGGAGGGGGAGGGGGATGGAGGGGAGTGTGAGGGGTATGGGGGCGAGGGAATGGAGGGATAGAGGAAGAGCAAGGGCGAGAGGGGGCAGGGGACTGGTCGATGGCATACTAGGGGGGGCAGGGTAGTGGGCGGCGATCGCCGCATGCCGTCCTATGGCGGCGAGTATCGCTACGCCAGGGAAGACAAGGGCGTCGAAGTGCAGCTGCTGCTGTTCGAATCGTTCGGTGGGTTTGGGAAGGGGGTCGGCGAGATCCTCTGGGGGGCGGCGAACGTGCTGCAGAACAAGCTGACGCGGGCCCAGTACCTCGATGAGGTGACTTGGACCACCAAGAGCTGGCTGGGGCTGCAGAAGCAGCGCATCTCAGTCGTTCTTCACACGGCCATCGCAGAGCAGATTGTGAATGAGCTTGCCAGCGGCGAGGGCGGTCGAGTGCACGGAGCTAAGTGCCTCGCCGTCCTCGCGGGAGTCGCTTAGGCGGCTCCAGTGGTGTACCTGTGTTAGTGCCAGTGCGCGCCAGTCCCGTGCCCAAAGAAAAGAAAGAAAACAGACAACCCAAGGGAGGGATGGGAGGACGGCACGCCGCCACCACACAGGGATTTTAAGGAGAGGTGTGTGGTGCGCTAGCCGTCGCCCACCCTAGGGAGTCTGCCTCTTCCTATCTCTCTTCGCAGTCTCTCGCTGCTTCTCGCTGCAACCTTCATGCCACCTCGCGGTCGTCCCACTCTCGTCGTTCTCTCCCTTGTCATTTCCTCCTCTGACGCGTTGTTCTCTTCTGCCTCGTCCTGCGACGCCGCCACCTGCCGGTCCCTTGTTCTCGCGGCTTCTTTCGCCTGTCGGCGCAACTCCGTCCTCCTCGCGGCGTATCCTGGCCCCTCGAGTCTATCGAGCTCCCCTCGCGCAAGGACCACATTTCTGACTCCCACTCCGATCATTTGCCTCCAAGTCATGTCGTTGCTCAGGTCCACTCTCTCTTCGAACACTCGTGCCTCTACGGATGATGCCGGCGCTGGGGTCCCCTTCGGATGCATCGTGACATCTGACAACTGGATTTCCACTGGTTCGTCCTCCTCGGAGTCATCTTCCCCGTCCTCCTTCCGCTCGGCTCTTCGCTCGGTACGTTCGGTGTGGCTCACCCTCCATGCCGTGAACAGGCGCTTTATCCACCCTATATTCTTCTCTCGTTCCTCTGCCCGTGCCTTGGTCTTGTCGTTGTTTCGCACCCATGTCTGTATGGCCATCGAGGCTGCCTTCCCCACTACCTGTAGTTCTCTCGTCACCTCTCCCGCGAGCTCCCTTCTCTTTCTTTCGGGTATGGAGTCCGTGAGTGCGGGTAGCGTGCAGGCAATCCCGTGCCCAGTGTTGAGAGAGATTTTTAGCAATACCAAACAACTCTAACACTCACACGTCATTTGGGGCCTGGAGCCCTGTTCACGCGCGCGCGAGACGTGCAGACAGGGTTGCCAGGTGAGAGCGAATGTTTGTTTGTCAGTGTTGTGCGCGCGGTGGTAAAATTCTTTCTCGCACCGGCCGAGAGATCTCGCCGCCGTCCCAGGCACGGCGAAGAGCTCGTCCACCTCCACTGTCGTCACCACGCGGCGCTTCACTCGCTTCGACTTTGACATGGACACGAGCAGCGGCGGCCGCGCTGAAGAGCGGGCGCCGGACTACTCGTACTCCATCAGCGACGGCCTCCTCACCTTCCTCTCGGTCATGGCGCCGACGCTCGTGCTCAACCTCGCCTTCTCAGTGGCCGGCTTCGGCGATGTGACCTACCTCTTCCTCGAAGACCTCAAATACCCATGGTACGCTGCAGCCGACGCCTGCCTGCTCCTCTGCCTCCTCCTCTGGATGCTAGACGCTCATCGATGGACGAAATCGTATATGGTGGTGGTCCGGCGGCTGTGCATCGCGCTGGCGGTGCTGCTCGCCGCCGTCGCCTGCTCGCTGGCGACGCGCGTCTACCCATTCGCACCGCTGCAGCTCGGCGTCTCCACGCCACGGCGTCTACTGCAGCAGGGCCGGCTGACTCCAGTCACGGTCGTTGAGTCTCTGGCCCTCAGGCTTTTACGCGATCCCCGCCTCCGCCTTTGTGGTCCGGCGCGGCCTCGTCACCCGCCCGCCCGCTCCAGCGTACATGCGCGGCCTGAGCAGGCGCGTCGCCGCCGCCGCTCGGACCTGAGACGCCCGATGCAGATGAGTTGCTGCTCTCTCCCCCTTTCCTCCCTGCCCCTCTCGCTGGTGCGTGCTGATGAGTTACCGCCAGCGGCGCTCGCGTACCTCCGTACCTTCGATGGTCGCATACGTGATGAAGATCTAGAGATGCGTCTGCAGGAGTGTCGCCGTCGCCGCCGCGCTGAGCCTGACCTACTTTGCGCTGTGGGTGGCGGTGCTTCCCCCACCGGCGTCGCGGCTGCGCACCGGGTGGGACGAGGACTGGCTTGCGCCTTCGCGTCTTCTTTTTTTGCCGAGGGGTTTCTTTTTGTTGTAGGTGGGACGAGGACTGGTTTGCGCCTTCGCCGTCTTCTTTTTTTGGGAAGGGTTTCTTTTTGTCGTAGGTGGGACGAGGAGTGGCTCAACTTGTGGGGTGGGCCGGTCAAGGCGTACTGGGAGGGCAGGCGGGGACGAGGGCCTTATGAACATGACTCTAATCATCATCGTGTTTGTGGTCAGTTCCTCTTGCTCTTGAATATGCAGGCCGGGTTGGCGAGCCCTTACCTTACCGCCTCATGAACAACGGATGAATGAGTAAGTGATCATTGAGCAGGCTGGGCTGCGAGCCGTTCAACGCGACCGCCTCGTACAACGACATCGACTGCTACGACGCCGCCTTCTGCTGGTTCTTCTTCCCGCTGCTGGTCGGGATCTCGCTCGTCGTCTTTGCCGTGGTGTGCCGCGAGACCCACAACACGCACACGAGTCGAGACCCACAACAGCACACGCACACGGATGAGACTCCTCCTGTGCGCATGACCAGGTATGCCGCTTCCTCGCGCGCGTGCTCGCCTCCGAGACCAACGCAGAGGCCGACGCCGCCGCCGTCAAGCTGTTTGTCGGCGCCATCTCCGTCGCCGGGCTCGGCATGTGCTCACTGGTACAGCTCGTTCGGACTGTGATTGGTGTGGCTGTGCAGGCGCCATCTCCGTCGCCGGGCTCGGCATGTACGTCGCCGCCTCCATCGCCGGCGCGGGGGAGACGGAGTGCGCTTGAGTACTACACCAGCTCCATCTTATGGCTGTGGCTTCTCCTCACAGGCGCGGGGATGGGCCTCTCGCACATCGTCTCGGTGGCGATGCTCAACCTGGTCGCCGCCGCGCTCCTCCTCGTCGGAGGCACGCTGGGCTGGGAGACGTTCGCAAGAGCGATGGCGGAGGCGGCGTGGGTGCAGCGCGGTCTGCGGTACATCGAGAGCGGGTACGAGTGGCGCGTCGCTCTCGCCAGTCCTTCGCTTGCTCTCCACACCTCCGGCTGTGAACAGGTACGAGTGGTGCGTCGCCCTCGTCATCTGTGTCGGAGTGCTGCCGCTGCTTGCGTACGCGCTGCTGCTCGCTGGCAAGCAGGCGACTCGGTGGCTGCGCGGCTCGAGCAAGGCGTCCCGCGGCGGCATCGTCACCGCAGAGACGCATGAGCGGTTGACGAAGCTGTCAGTGCACTGGGGCTCCGTCTGCAGCAAGGTCGCCCTCCTCTGCCAGGGCTACCTCTGCATGTCGGTCGTGGTCGCCAAGTTTGTGGTTGTGTTTCTCTGCTGGCTGAGCGCGGTGCTCGCCGGGCTCCCCCTCGGCCTCGTGGTCCTCCTCTTCCTGCTGCAGGCGAGGCACTTCCTAGACCCTTCCTAGACACTCCCGAGACACTCCCGAGACACTCCCTAGAAGGGCTCCTCTCTCTGCCGCAGGGCATCGTCCTGTTCCTCGTCCCGGTCATCCCCGGCATCCCCGTCTACGTGTGCTCCGGCGTGCTGCTCACTGGCGCGGTGATGAGCGAGGAGGAGCTTGCAGACCCCACCCCGCACGCGCCGCCCTCGTACTGGCTCGGCGTCGCCCTCGCCGTGTCGGTCGCACGCCCCCGCTCAAGACAGTGCCATCACGCGGACCGCCATCCTCACTCGCGTTGTTCGGCTCCTAGGTCGCCTCCCCCCCCCTCGCCGCCTGCACCTCCTTTGCCGGATCCCCCTTCCCCCGCCTCCTCCTCCTCCCTTGCCGACCTCTCCCTCGCCGCCCCAACCAGGTCGCTTGCCTGCTCAAGTTTTGCGCCATCGTGCTGCAGCAGCAGGCCATCGGCCGGTGGACGGGACCTCGGCTATCTCTCGGCTGTCTCTCGGCTATCTCTCGGCTGTCTCTCGGCTGTCTCTCGGCTATCTCTCGGCTGTCTCTCGGCTGTCTCTCGGCTATCTCTCGGCTGTCTCTCGGCTGTCTCTCGGCTATCTCTCGGCTATCTCTCGGCTATCTCTCGGCTATCTCTCGGCTGTCTCTTGGCTATCTCTCGGCTATCTCTCGGCTGTCTCTCGGCTGTCTCTCGGCTATCTCTCGGCTGTCTCTCGGCTGTCTCTCGGCTATCTCTCGGCTATCTCTCGGCTGTCTCTCGGCTGTCTCTCGGCTATCTCTCGGCTATCTCTCGGCTGTCTCTCGGCTGTCTCTCGGCTATCTCTCGGCTATCTCTCGGCTATCTCTCGGCTGTCTCTCGGCTGTCTCTCGGCTATCTCTCGGCTATCTCTCGGCTATCTCTCGGCTGTCTCTCGTCTATCTCTCGGCTGTCTCTCGGCTGTCTCTCAGCGGTCTCTCGGCTGTCTCTCGGCTGTCTCTCGGCTATCTCTCGGCTGTCTCTCGGCTATCTCTCGGCTATCTCTTGGCAGGTCATCGGCCGGTGGATGGGGTCTCGCATCGAGATCCGCGCCGCATGCCAGACAAACTCGTCCTTCATCCGCGCGGCGAGGCATAGCCGAGACATCGCCGAGGCATCGCCGAGGCATCGCCGAGGCATCGCCGAGATACAGCCGAGACACAGCCGCGCATGACAAGCTCGGCCCTCTCCGTGCGGGCGCGTCCCGTCCGTCTCATATCATTGTTGGCATCCTCTCTATGATTCATGACTCTTCTGATTCCCCCACGCTGCCAGGCGCGGTTCGTGCTCACGCAGCGCGGCTGCACCTTTGGCAAGACAGTCGTGCTCTGTGGAGGACCGGACTGGCCGACCTCCGTCCTGACAGGCACCTCCGACAATCTCGGTCCTATCTCGGCCACTCTCGGCGGTATCCGGCCGATCCCGGCCACTCGCGGCCAATTGATCAAATACCTCACCACACGCGCCCGTCTCGCTCCCTCTCTCTGCCTGCCCGTCTCCGGCCTCTCCCGCCCCAAGACGCGAGCCGCGTCTCTTCACAGCCGTCTCTTCACAGCCGTGGCCGTGAGCAGGCATCCTCGGCCTCTCCTGCCCCAAGATGCTCTTCGGCTCCATCCCGGTCGTCCTTCTCATCCTCCCCTCCACCGCCATGGGCAGCGCGCTCATCATGGCCAACCAGCCTCTCGTTACCGGGACATGTCCGCGACATGTCCAGGACGCGTCGGCGACATGTCCCGTAGGCCAACCGGCCTGGCTGGGACCTGGCCGCTTCGGCGATGGACGATGGCGTGTGATCGCAACCTGACGTGCTGATGACTGACATCACCATAACTAATGACTAGGCGATGACGATGGCGATGCTCGCGACCCAGATGGGCGCGTCGGTCGGGTTCGTCGCCGTCATCGAACACGCAGCAACCGCCTACGAGGCGCAGAGTATCCAAGAGTAGCCGAGGCAAGGAGAGGCTAGCCGAGGCTAGCCGAGCGCGCCGAGGCGGAGATACGCCGCGCTGTCCCATCGAGGACGTGTGCAGGTTCAGGTCGCCCGATGTGACGCGCGATGGTCCGAGGTCAGGCGGAGATCGCCGCGCTGCCCATCGACGAGGAGGTCGCCGCGCTGGACGAGGCGCGCGCGCTCTACGCGACCTGTCAGTCAGTCTGTCTGTCAGTGTGACACACCTCCTAGCACGGAGGACGGGCCCACACACACACACACGCTGCACACGATTGGCTTGGGAGCCGACACGAGGCACACTGTCACCGGCCGTATCACGGGGTCCGGGCTGGGTCCGGGCTGCTGGGAGAGCGACCGCGCCCTAGGAGTCCCTCCCCTCGCACCGGAAGGAGATCACATCTGCTGCCGCTCTCGCCAGGCACGCGCGCTCTACGCGACCGCTTGGCGCAACGCCTCCGACTGGCGCGACGCCTCTTACCCGGCTGCTGCACGCGTGCTCGCCGTGACCGCCGCCGCTGCGGGCCTCGTCGGCTGCCGTCTCTCCGCCCTGCCCGGCGCCTCCCGCGAGCCGTCTCGGCGTCCTCCCCGTAGGCCTCGTCGGCTGCCACCTCTCCGTCCTCGCGGCCTGCTTCGCGCGCGTGACCGTGGCGGACCGCTTCGACGCCCCTCCGATCAGCGGCAACCCGCTCAACGTCGTGCGCGGCGGCGCGGGCTACGCGCTGCTCGCGTCGTTTCTGGGCGGCCTGCTGCTGCTGCTGCTGCATCGCGCGTGGCTCGGCCGGCGGACGCGCGCGCGGCTCGTCGTCGAGGAGGCGGCGGTGGCGCGCAGAGGGCCCGACAAGGCGATGGCGCCGAAGGGAGCGGCGGAGGCGCCGGTGCTGGAGCAAGGGAAGGTGTGGGGCGTCCACTACTGAAGACATTCTCATTGCATCGCTTCCATACTTGCGAATTTTAGAGGACGTATGGTTCTTGCGCAGCAAGATTGGTTGGGCGTCTTCTATTGCAGTCCCTTTTTTCCAGAGCCCTTTTGATGGGCCCAAGGGCGGCTCTTCTGGGTGGTGGGTGGGGCCTCTTCTCTCGAGAACGGATGAGAGAGCGTATTGAATAATTCACAATAAGGGTATTGTGCGACGGAGAGTCTCTTTGCACATTGCAGGCACATGTGGTGCTCTCGTGATGAGCCCCAGTGAGCCTTGTGTGAGGGGGGGCGCGCGCAGAGCCCCCGCGGCATTAAAGATAAAGTGCCCCCCCCCCCCCCCCTTTGGCCTTTCCGGAAATTTTGGTGAGACGTCTCTGTCTCACGGGTGTTTCGTCCCTGTCTCACTTGCATGATTTTTTCCGTCTCTCTGCGTCTCTCCAAGCGTCTCTCTGCTGTCACAGTGCTGAGTGTCAGTGTCGCCGGTGCGTCTCAGATGCGTCTCAGATGCGTCTCACATTCGTCTCTTTCGGCCGCGTATCACTCAGTCTCACGGCTGGGCTGAGACGTCACAATTCCTGAGCGAAGTGAGTCGTCTCACTTCCGTCTGAGACAGTGCTGAGCCACAATGAGACGTGGCGCAGGGCGGGGTTTGCGACGCCACAAGCCGCTGCTTGACTGAGTCGTCTCAGGTCCGTAGAGACCATGCTGAGCCAACCTGAGACGTAATTGTGAGACAGTGGCGATTGGGGAGACTCAACTCAGGCTGTGTCTGAGGTGCGGCCTGGCGGGTCTCGGTGAGTGTAGACGAGCCCCAAGCATAATCGCGCTCTCTGGCTCAAACGGCGCGTAGCCGCCGGTTGCTCTATCGCGCTCTCAGACGCAAACGGCGGGCGTAGCCGGTTGCGCTCGCGGGCAGGGCGGTTCGGGTTAGTGCCCAGCACTACGCTCTCGCCCTCTGTTCGTCGCGGCTACGCCCTCGGCTTGATGAGTACTTTGCACCAACCGCTCCGAGGTGAGGCGTGTCGGACGATCCCAACTAATCGCGCTCATATCGCGCTCCCTGGCCCAAACGGCGCGTAGCCGGTTGCTCTCGTGGGCAGGGCGGTTTGGGCTAGTGCCCAGCACTACGCTCTCGCCCTCTGTTCGTCGCGTTCTTCACGCCGCCGCCCACGCCACCGCCCACGCGCCGGCGGCGGCGGCGCCGTCATCCACGCCGCCGCCCGCGCCGTTGCCCCTGCCGCCGCCCCCGCCGCCGCCCCCGCCGCCGCCGCCGCCACTGCCGCCCTCGCCGCCCTCGCCCACCCCATTGCGCCACGCTGCTTCCCTCGCCACGTCGTTGCCCACGCCGCCGCCCCCTCAGCCCTTACAGCCGTCGCCGGGCGTTACCCACGCCGCCGCCCCACTCACCGCCACCGCCCTTGCCGCTGCCACACCTGGCCCACGTACCGCCGGCGCCCTTGATTAGGCACCGCCGCCACCTCCTCGCCACCGTTGCCCACAAAACCGGTCCCACGCCGCCGCCCACGCGCCACGCCGCCGCCGACACCGCCGCCGGCGCCGCCTGTGCCAACGCCACCGCTGCCCTCCCCACACTACAACTGGTGCTGTCGTTGCCCACGCCGCCACCCATGCTGTCGCCGCCCTCACCCCTCTGCCGACCGCGCTACAACTGGCTAGCAAAGACGACGCAGCCTATAGTATCGACTCTCCCGCCAATGTCTCACGATTGCGTCTCAGGTTGGCTCATGGCATGGTAAGATGGTATCTGACAACGGCAGCGGCTTGTGGCGTCTCACACCCGTTCTGCGCCGTGTCTCATCACGCCGTGGCTCAGCACAGTCTCAGAAGCAAGTGAGACGAGTCGCGCTCCTTGGCGCAGCAACTATGCCGTTGTGAGACCGAGTGAGACGAGGATTGCCGCTTGTTCACCGTGAGACGAGTGTGAGACGCTCTGAGATGAAATGAGGAGACGTAGAAGAGACGACAGTGTCACACAGCAGGGGTGAACATTTGTCTCACTGGTGTCTCAAACACGTCTCTGAAGGTGACTGTGCCGTGTGTGTGACATCCTTGAGACAAAGTGAGACTGTTGCTGTGACCAGGCTGAGACAACGCAGAGATCGGTGAGAGTCCGTGAGACATTACTGAGACGCATTTGTGGCACAGCGTTGAGACAGGGACGAAACACCCGTGAGACAGAGACGTCTCACCTGTTCGCCCTAAACGGCATTTCCTACATGGCATTTTCCGCGCTACGCGCCCTGAGCCTGACCCCTGTAGCTGTACTACTGATCTCTACGAAAGCGTTGATCTTGAACGCGAATTACATCTCAACAGTCAACACGACTGAACCGAATACAGCGTGAAGGGCACATCATTCCCCTCGATGAGCGTGAATCGGATGAGCACCGCGGCCGGTGCCCCCGAAGTCACCCCCGAAGCGGGTAGGCGCAACCGCAGCACGCTCGAGCTGTGGACAGACACGTTGTGTGCCCACTTGCGGTGGAAGGTGGCGCCCGAATCACTACCCTTTGAGGCCTGGTGAGAGGCGGGAAGGGGGAGGTATGTGCCGTCGCCCACACGTCGCACCACCTCGACCTTCACCGAGGCGGCGCCGCTGTAGCTGCGCAAGTACCCAACGGTGAGCGAGCCCGTCTCCACCGTCACGTTGGCGACGAAGTTGGCGCCGCCCCTGCGCGCGACGTACCCGAGCTTGTGCCCGCCTATTCGCGGCTAATCGCGGCTAATCCTGACAGACCCCGCTCACCGATAGAGCTGCAAACTTGTGCGCGCCCGTGCTGTATATTGACGCGCCTCGCTTCACCTTGTCGAAGATGTACGCCCCATCCCCGCGCTTGTGCTGGGCCAGCCACTCCCACCCCTCGGCGTGCACGACGGCCTCCATGCCCGCGCCTCGCGAGTTTGTAAAGTCGATCAGCGCGAGGGGAGTCGTCATGCGCTCGAGCACCAGCCTATATGGCGACGAACGCGCGGTTAATATGGCGTGCACAGTGTCACGCTCACGGGAGCCTAGCCACGAGGGGTGCGTGCACTGCTACAAGTATGCCATCTTTGGGCTACCAGCCCCTCAATGGACGGGTCGAGCGGAGGCAGCGCGAGGCTGGCCCGCCAGCGCGCCTCTCTCTGCGCGGCACTGTGTCGCCAGAGCGCCTCTCCCTCCGCGTGCAGCACGGCAACGCAGAAGAAGGCGGTGAGCAGGTGGCCCCACCGCGAGAGGTGCACCACGTCGACGAGCACCTGCGGCCTCGCGAGTGGGTGGCTTCGGTTCCTCTCGTCGAGCGCCGCGAGCGGCAGCGTCGAGTGGCAAGCTGGGACGCCGAGGCGCTCGAGCACGGGCCGATGCTCGTTCCAGGCACCGAGCACCTGCAGTGTTTCGTCCGTATCAGTAATGTCTCTGTGATCGAGCGGCGCAATTGGTAAAAACCTGCGACGACGTGAGCTTGTTGAACCACGCGTCCTCCACGTACAGCAGCGCCTGGTCAAAGCTAGACATATGAAGAGACAGAGGCGTGAGCAGCATCTTCCACTCACAGGTGCGCCGTGGTGGGGCGGAGCTGTAGGATGCGCCGCGCCAGCGCCTCCGTCTCGACTTCGATTTCTCGAAGTCGGGCCTGCGACCGCCGGTCGAGGACGTGTCCGTGCTGAAGCTCGGCCTTCGTTGGGCGGCCCTTGAGCTCGTCCTCGACGAAGCTGTTGAAATCGTTGGCGCCTGAGAATACGGGAATAGACAACCGTTCACCCACTTCCCTCCATGAGCAGCATCTCTCACAGGCGCCTGTGTCGACGACTACCAGGTGCGGAGGAGACGCCTTGTGCTTGGCACCGAGCAGCCCGGCAAACTGCGCGTTGAAGCCCGAGGTGCCCATCCCATTAATGCACTGGTTGTCCAGCGTGTGACCCGTCGCGCAGCAGCGCTGGCTCCGCGCATTGAGATAGCGGATCAGCGCCGCGCTCCAAGTGCCATTGATACCGGCGGGTTTCCCAAGGTTCGAGTGCCGTCGTCCAAAGACTCCGCCGACGTTTCCAGCGCCACATGCATTGCTCCCACCAATGACAAGCACACGCACGCAGCAGTTGCGCTCATCACCGAGGCGCTCAAACAGCCTTAGCAGTCGAGCGCCCGCTTGCCCGCCTCTCACCGCGTGGACGGCGTGGAGCATCTGCCTCGTGACGGCGCGCATTCCCTCGGCCGGCTGGGAGTCGTGCGCATCGTAAGGCGCATGGCTAAAGAAGGACCTGGCGTCGGCCAGTGTCCCAAGCACAGAAGATGGAGAGCGCCTGTGCAAACGTGCATAGTCACCGGTGCCGGTGCCGGTGGTGCGGCCTGTGACTGCTGCCACAGCGTCGTCAGCGGCCGTTGACCCGCTTTTCAACAGCAACGCGAGGAGGAGCCGCATACTGGCGCGACGCGTTGCGCTGCCGCAAAAGTGTGTGGTGTCCTGCTTCAAGCGGCGGCGATGGCGTGCGCTTGCGATGCGGCGGAGGAGCGCGACAGGCCACGACGCAGTCGAGCAGAGCGCGTGCGTGGGGGCCGTGCGCTGCAGCGGGTGTGGAGCGGGCTGTGACGCGCCTGTTTTTTCTTTTTAACGATACTTTTTCTTCTGGGAAGGATAGAGAGACGGAGTGTCGGAGCCGGCAGCAAGAGAACTCGAGTGGGAGAGAAAATAAGTCGTTAATCTCGTAGCTAAGCTCGCCCTTCCCTCGGAGCGCCTCGGCTGCCTCTCTCAGCATTTGGGGCACACTTTGGCAATCATGCTGAATGAAGTGCTCGTCCTTCAGGTGCCGGAGTGCGAAACTCCACGCCCTGCCCACGAGGCTCAAAAGCTTCGCCATCGGGTGTTTCGCGTACGGTGTGATCGGCCTCGCTTTGTGCAGCTTCCGAGCTCGTACTGCCGCGTCAGTCACATTCTTTGCCTTATACAGCGCGTACGGCGCAGTTACCCTTCCTTTGCTATCGAATTTGGTGATTTTATGCCATCCCTTCTTTCTGTAGAACCATCGCCATGCAGAGATTAGCGTCGCGTCGAGCGTTCCGTCCGTACTCAGCTGGTTCGCCCGTACCCGCGACCGATCCTCCGTCGTCATATTCTTGAGCAGTTCCCCAGCTCCATGCTTCTTCCTCTTATATGCCGTGTCCTTTAGAGGATACACACGCGTATAGTTGCCGTTTGAAGTGTCGAAGAGCGCGTCCAGCGTCTTCTCGTACGTGACGGGGCACGTAACACGAAACACTCTCCGACATTCTTGTCGAGCCACCCTATCACGCTTCCTCGCAGGACACTCCTCACCTGAGCAACCTGGTTCGATGTGATCGCGTCCTCACATGGCACACACGTCTCATCCGTCTCCTCAAGAGTCTCAGCAAGTATCCGTTTCCACTCGCGCTCTCCCCCGGCTTCACGTACACTCGTGGGAAGGCTTCCGAGCGCCTTGTCCCATGCCACACGCATGTCTCTCGCTGTCGGGACGGGCACATTCTTGTTGCTCCGACGTAGCACCTCGGCGTGTGGGCCGTTGTACTCTCGCCCGATGCAGAAGATATGCCCCTCCGTCATCGGCAGAGGCTCGAACCCGAAAGCGACAAGTCGCTGCTGTATCGCCTGACAGGCGCATCTCTGTGGCCTTTTCGGGTCGCTGACATTGGAGAGTCTCTCGACGACATTTTTCTGCCGCACCGTCACTATCTTGATCCTTTGGCAGTGCCACTCAATGATGTGTTCCGGCCAAGGTTGCCGCCTCACTAGCTCATCGAGGTAGGCTCGAAGCGGGCGAGCGTCTACTCCTGGTACGAAAGGTAACCTCACCTCAATCAGATCCCGTGTGAGACCCTCATACCTGGTCTCGTACTCTGTCCAGAGCATACGTCTCATACGCAGCCATGTAGATTTGTCGCTGTAATTCCTTCCTCCTCTTCCATAAACCGCCCATTTCGCTTCTTCTGTCAGATCGCAAAGTTCTTTACTGACGTCCGCGAAAGAAGTGTAGAAGTCCTGCGCCGACGCGTCCTCAGCTCTCACATGCCAAGCGCTGCTCGCGAGCAGGAAAGCTGCGCTGCTCACAGATAGGGTGATAAGAAAACAAGAACCTCGCATACGACGACAGTGAGATACCTAACACAGTGAGGGTGTGAGAGACAGACCCAGGGAAGGTCTTTCACTACCTTACTCACACGCTCCGGTTCAGCAGTTTCCCGGGAAACTAGAGAGGAAACGACTGCGCGCGAAAGCAACACCCACAAATGCACGTCGCATTTTCCATCACCACTGCAACTCACAACGCGTCGAGCGGTCGGCGCACATCACTGCGCTGTGGCTCCACGCTTGCCGCCGTCGATGCGGTCCACCGTTTTTTTGAGAATCGAACCGATGCGCTAGCAGAACTCCGGGCAATCAGCGTGCTGCGCACAACATCAATCTGTGAAACGCAGGGTGACAACGGCATGGGAGGATCCGAATTGGAGTCGGCGGCCCGACGATCGGCGACGCGACACGCCGGCCCCGACGCATCGCTCGTCTCGACACTGTTGCGCGAGCACAGGGTGCAGCCGGCGAAACCGCGAGAAGCGAGGCCTGCTGGCCAATGCGGTACCCCACGACCCAAGGATCTGAGGCGTGGATGGAAGTGTCAGACTACTACTGGCCGATACGTGGAGATGCCGTCGGCGTGCAGCCAACAGGTGAGAGTCGGGCGCGGTGGCGAGCAATACAAGATGCTCTGCTTGGAGCGGGGTGACACGACACTCAAGTCGACGACGGAGGCGACACCCTGCCGCGTTTTGAGCGTCGGAAGCAACGGCGACGCCGCCTTTGAGATCGACATGCGGCGGCGGTACCCCGGCTGCCTCTTCGAGACGTGGGACGGCACCTTAGGGGGCGCTCGCGAGCACCTTCGTCACCAGCTGCCCTCGTGGCTGCGCTTTGTGGATCGCAACTTCGATTATTCGTCGTCGGGCGTGTGGCTCCAGCGGCAGCATACCACGCGGTCCTCCGCCGATGCCAGCAAGCCCTCTCTTTCGGTCCTGAAAATTGATTGCGAAGGATGCGAGTTCAAAGCGCTGATGCCGTGGCTCTCGAGCGTCTGCACCGAGCAGGTGCTCCTCGAGCTGCACTTTTTGAAGCGAGACGCCCCGAAGCTGGCAAAACTGCTTGCCGCACTCAGCAGCGAGTACCACCTCTTTTACGGCGAGAACAATCCGGTGTGCGGCGGCCCCTACAGCGGACATCGCTGCCTCGAGACGGCGTGGCACAGGCGTAGGCCTTGCTTGTAGTGTTTGTCGTTTCTCACGAATCAATGAGACAGTCAAACTCTGAGTCGAGATGGGATTTAGGGACATGCGCGTGAGGGATCTTGGTAAAATTTCTCTCTCTGCATCTCCAGTTCTCCACACGTCACCCCAGTCCACACCGTCGCGTCCCGGAGTGCGGAGAGGGCCGTCAGGGGCGGGGAACCCGCAATTTGAGATGCTGAGGCATCTGAAATTGCCCGATACGATCTCCATTCTAATTTCAATTGCCTTAGCATCCCAAGATGCATGAAGCAATTCAGCTCCGGCGCTCGGTGCTTGGAAAGAATTCAACAAGATAAGTCTCTCCCTGGCGAGGTACTTTCCAGCCTGCTGTGGGAACAGCTGACGCAGTCTCGCCGAGGCTCGCCTCGGCATGTCGCGCGTTGACTCGGCCAGAAAAAAAGAAAAACGAGTCTGCGAGTACCTCCCCAGGTCTCTCCGCGATTTGGATTCGAAAAAGAGCCGGTGCGCAGCGCGCGGACAACACGCCCACTCGGTCAGTCGAACAGGAAGGGTACGGTCACGCTGCTGTTGCCGCCGCTCGGTGCGAAGCGCGCGCCGCCGAGGTGCGTCTCCACCGCGTTGAGCACGGCCGGCCGCGCGTCGTCCGCCTCCGCCCCGCGCTGCAGCTGGCTCGGGTCGACGACGAGCGTGTCCGCGAGGTGGCGGAGGGCGGCGACGGTGCCTGTTCACACCCGCGCGCCGCCGTGAAGATCTTAGCTCCCGTCGGCGAGGGGCGCGGGGGGGGGGGGGGGGACGCGCCGTCGGGGCCAACCTCGAGCCGCACAGCGAGCAGCCCCGTGACGGCGGGTGGGGAGATCTCGGCGTAGAGGGCCTAGTCTCGTGGGGGAGAGGAGCAGTCTCAACGCGAGGGCGGGCGGACCTCGGCGGATCTCGGCGGATCTCGGCGGATCTCCGTGCCGGGCGCCTCTAGCGGTGCGGCGAGCCCCTCCCCCACCTCTTCCTCTGTGAGAGCGCCTAAACGTGCCTCGTCGACTCCTCAGTGGCCAGTCCAGCCAGTCTCCATGGCTCCTCCTCCTCAACGCGAGATCCCTCGGAGAACGGGGCCGGCTCCGTGAACCAGCCGTGCAGAACCAGCCGCCCCCCCCTCGGGTCCCGCTCCCCCTCGACCCTCGACACGCCTACCTCTCGGCTCAGCTCGGCTCAGCTCGGCCGATCTGGGGTCTCGCCCTCCCTCGGCCCTTTCCACACCGTGCGGCAACCGCGCGTCGAAGACGGTCAGCCGGTCGAACAGCGGCTGAACCTGTGCATACACCCGCGCGCGCCGCTATGAAGAGACGCCGTCCACACCGCCGAACGGCTGGCTCAACCAGCGGCTCCGCCTCCGCCACGAGGTCACCTCGCTAATCTTGGGTAATCTCGTGTAATCTCGGGTAATCTCCGCCTCCGCCACGAGGTCACCTCGCTCGAGCCCGACCGACGAGTCGAAGCCGCGCCTGCTCACCGCCACAGGCGCGTGAAGAGGCGCTCCGCTCACCGCTGGAGAGAGGGAAGGAGAGAGGCGAGCGTCCAAGCCGCGCGCGCCAGTAGTCGAGCGTCTCCGGCCGCAGCAGCGAGGTCTCGCCGCCTGGAAATGGCTCCCGGCGACTCACGTCTTGGTCGAGACGGCCGCAGCAGCGAGGTCTCGCACGCCGCTGAAGCGGCGCTCTTCCCACCGCGTGAGCGAGAGCACGAAGGCGAAGGGTCCCTGGGGGGGTGTTGGAGGGGATAGTCACGGGGGATAGGGGATAGTCATGGGGGATAGTCACGGGACACACACACCGGGGGAGAGAGGCCGCTTCAGAGAGGCGGCTTCAGAGACGGTGGAGGCGAGGACGCGTGGTGTCGAGGACGTGCTGAGGGCCGCAGTGCCCGTGTCTGGCAAACTTGTGTCGAGGCAGTCTCGAGGACGTGTCGAGGCAGTCTCGAGGACGTGTCGAGGCGGCGTCTTGGCTGGGCGCAGTGTGTTCTGGCTTCTGGCAGTGCGTCTGGCAGTGTCTGGCAGCGTGGTCCACGCTGTGGCCTGCGGCACGTCTGCGTGCAGCCGCTGCTCGCATCCGTCCACATAGAAGGAGAGCCACGGCGGGGAGATGGCGCGGCAGCCCAGCTCGCGCTGACCGAACGCCGTCAGCGCGTCGGTCAGCGCCGCAAAGGCGTCCTCATCAAAGTAGGAGGCAGCCTGCGTCCGATGCAGCGTGTACTGCGACGGCACGTGCCAGTAGTCCCAGCAGAAGCGCATCGGGTGGGCCTGCCGTGGCTCTTCGAACCGCTCATCAAAGACAGTGCGGAGTGTCTCGGCCGTTTCTCCCAGAAAGCCATCGACCGTCCGCAGGTGCTCCGGGCCAGGATCCTCGTACTGGGCGAGTGGTTTCGGTGATCGCAAGCGGGCGACACACGAGACGGCGCCGCCGCGTGGCGAGGACAGGCCGGGCGAGGCCAGCACTAGCATTTCTTGTTCAAAAAAGAAAGGAGGCTCCTGCCCCTCTTTGTTGTCTCGACCCGATCCCCTCTCGGCCCGATCTCGGCTAGATCTCAGCCTTAGGCGACACGCCGATGTCGACGTCGCCACAGGTTCTTTTTTTGCTTGGGCGGACAGCATGCCGGGGTAGGTAGGGTAGGCCTGGGCCCTCCCGTCGGGTTTTTCCCTCTCTCCACGCTGGAACTTTCACAGCAGAAAAAGAAATTTTCCGCGGAAATCACGATGTCAACCCTCCCCAAGTGGGTGATCTGGTGCTTGTAGGGCTTGAGAGTGGCCTGCCATGTCATAGGAAGGACTGTGGTTGCAGGAGAGTACCACCCCGGGACCACCCATCACTTTAGTTGGTATGTATGTATGTAGGAAGGTGAAGAACAGCCAGGCTCGGACTGGACACCAACGCGGTATGGGTGGACGCTGGACAGATGATGACGACACGCACGAGCGACACACAGACACAAACAGGCTCACAAGACACACAGCCAGCTGGCTGCCACACACCCTGAGTTGGCGCACACATAACTCAGGGCCACATTCTCCCTGTCGCCCCCCCAGCACTCCAAAAGGTGCCAAAAAGTACACAAACAAGGCCACAACAAGACAACAGACGTCATGTGGGATGTCGTAAAATCTTTCTCACGAGGCCATCACTCTCCCACGCCTCGCGGCCGAGGAGCTCGTCACCATGGGGGACTGGGGGACCTCGCCCCAGGAGACGGGGGCCAAGCAGTCCCCACTCCTCTCGGCGGGGCGGCGCCGCCCAAGCCGGACCTGGTGAACTGCGAGGAGCCGCCTTTTTTGAAAGATGAGGTGGCGGAACCGGTAGAATAGATCGTTTGTTGATTAAGGTCCCTCGGGCCAGTTGGGGGGGGCAAACCCAGCCCGCCCCCTAGAACCCCGGGTAAGGCCCAGGTGTGGCCTAGGGCATCAGAAGGGACCAAGAAAGAGGAGTCCAGTCTGAGCCATAGAGCCCATGTCTTTGCCCCCGAAGGTCGCGTTCAAATGCCCGGAACGGACGTTACAGTGGTGTCCGGCCGGCGCGATCACCGAGCTGTGACGCTCAGGGAAGCCGGTTTCAGGTGCTGCGGTCTCAGACCTACATTCTATATTCCAGAATGGCATTCTTCGAAATAGAATGGGCGCCGCAGCGGCCCGTAGCGGCGCCCCCTGCGTGCCCACGGCCACCCCGGGGCCATGGGACATGCCCCCGGCCATCGGGGATGCTTGGTTCATCCATTACCCCATTTACACGGGCTGTGTTGCGGCGCGCCTCGAGACGCGCAGCGCAGCGCAGCGCGCAGACCACAAAACAGGTCAGAAGACGGCCGTGGCGACACCCGCTCTCTGAGCGACAGCCCCGCAAAGGGCACTCGCTCGCAGGCGAGGACTACGGGCAGCACAGGCAGCAGCAGAGCTGGCGGTCCGTCTCCCCGCCCGCTGTAGCAAGTCGGCCCCAGCGTCACGGCCGGGACGGGCCAGGAGCCGCCCGGCTCGACGAGATCGACGAAGAGGACGAAGACGAGGACGAAGACGAGGAGAGGACTACTCGAACTTGGACGAGGACTCAGGCGAGGCGCAGGACTCGGAGACCGGGCAGGGAAACGAGGACCATGACTAGGTGACACGAGGAGTAGATGTGACACAGGTAGACCGCATTCGCGCTGTCTGCTCACTTCTGCCGCCCGACCCTTTCGCCCGCCCACCACTTGCGAGCACAAGTCTCACACTTCCACTGCCCTCGCCACAGGCGGCGACGGACGGACATCCAAGGCTCGAACGGCGGCAGCGGCTCAACGGCCGCCGGCGGCCGTCGTGCGTTTGCTTTCGCCATACGCGGCCCCCGGCGTCTGCTCTGGTTTGCCGGGGCGGGGGGGAGGACTCTCATTTGCGGACTGTTGGGCTTCTCTGTGTTGAACTGGCGCTTGTCGCGAACCCCACCAGTCTGGCCGAGCGGCACGCTGCCGCTGGGGGCGTGAGGAGGCCGTGGGGGACGGCGGCGGACCCCATTCTTCGATATAGAATGGGCCCTCACCGCGGCCCGTCTGCTGCTGAAAATGTGGCGTGTTGGGGGCTCTCCTGTGTGACTCCTCTGGCTCGCCGCGTTAAAGTGGCGCCTGTGTGTGACCAGCCTCAACCCCGGCAAGCGCCCCCCGGCCGCTGGGGCTGCGAGGCGGCCGGGTGAGCGCGCGCGAGACGCCATTCTACATTATAGGATGCCATTCTATAATATAGAACGGCCAGGTAGGGCTGAGACCGGCTGGTTTCTTTGGCCAGGGCTGTGGTGTACGACCCGTCCGTGCTGGATCAGCTGAGCAAGGTTTGGGGAGAATCCCCCATTCAGATCTTCAGATATTTTGACGGATCACCAAAATTACCGTTTTGCCCTTCTTCGGGGTTGTCGTTGCCCTTCTTCGGGGTTGTCGTGAGAAAAAGAAAAATCCACTGCCCTCTCTGTCAGGGCTCATGAGCGGGGCCGCGCCGAGGCTCAACCCTCTCGCCACGGGGGACACGCAGCTGGCCCACACCCTTGTCCCCGGGCAGATGGTGGACATTGCGGGCGGGCGGGTCATGGAGGTGGTGGATGTGCCGGATCGGCTGCTCGCGCCGCTGCTCGGCGAGGGCGGAGCCACGCTAGAGGAGATTCGGCGCGTCTCGGGCGCGAGCATCGAGATGATCGAGATGGTTAAGCTCAAGCTGGGCGACGCGGAGCGGCGCGCAATCGTCACGGGAGTCCGCACCATTGTCGCGCACGCCGTCAAGATGATTGCGGACGTCCTCGCCAACCCGACGGTGATGGTTGCGCAGCCGGTGCAGGCGACTGTCGAGACGCGCGTGATCGAGATCCCCTTCAACAAGGCGGGGCTCATCATCGGCCGCGCGGGCGAGACGATCCGCGACATTATGAGCAAGTCGGGCGCACACGTGCAAGTGTCGCGCGAAGCGACGGGCGAGGACGAGGAGACGCGGACAGTGACAATCCAGGGGACCGCCGAGCAGATAGAGTCGGCGGCGGCGCACGTCAACTCGAAGCTGAACCCGGACGACTGGCAGCTCGCCGTCAAGGCGCAAAACGCGATGGTGCGCTTGCGCCCTGCACCCTTGCACCCCCTCGCCCCTCCCCCCCGCGCAGCCTCGCCAGCCCCTCGCTCTCTTTCGCGGCGCATTCGTCCGACCGTCTCAGCCCTGCTGTGCACGCAGCGCGCCGGCTTCTCCGGCCCGCTTCCGGCGCCGGCGTCGCTCCCGATGCATTCCGTCGGCGCGGCGCCCCCGCCCCCGCCAGGAAGGGCCCCTGCTCCGTCGGCGGCGGCGGCGGCGGCGGACCCGAAGGCACGCGAGGACCTAGATGCGGGCTAGATGCGGGCCTGGATGCAGAGTTGGGGCCGTGCACCCCCACCTTGCACACGAGGCGGCACGAGCTCGGCTGTTCAGCCGCGTCGCAGTCCTGCTCCCTGTAGCCCCGGCCCTTGCAATCACGCGATGCGCCCGAGCAGCACGGCACGAGACAGAGCTGTCCCGCCCTCAGCTGCCCGCGCTCACACAGAGGCACAACCGCGGGCCCACGATCACGCACACGAGAGTCGAGAGCAGACAGACAGCGACGACAGCCGGACGTCGCACTGGGTCCCTGGGCGAACGTGATAGCGGGCTCTATGCTCACCCACCCCTCTCCTACCCCACCAGGTCCGCGAGACGGCGCTTCGGTCTCTCGCAGCGATGGCGAGGGCCATTCTTGGAGATGACGGGCGGGAGACCCGCAAGGCCGACGCCAAGGCCGACGCCAAGGCCCACGGCACGAATGCCGGGGCCGGCGGCGCAGACGGCAAGAGCGAGGAGGGAGCGGGCGAGGCGGGCGAGGAGGGCGAGGGCGAGGGCGAGGGCGAAAGCGAGGCCGTCTTGGCTGAGCTGCAGCTGTCGATGTCGGTCGGTGGCGTCATGTCGCTCCTCGACGACGGTCCGGTGGCGCAGCTGCAGGCGACCCCCCCTGGCTTCCCCGTGGCTACCCCCAGGCTTCCCCGAGGCTACCCCGAGGCTAACCCCAGATTCCCCGGGCACCCTAAGGGTGGTCGGCGGAGCGCAGAACTGCTTCCCTGAGCCTCCTCTGGGCCTCCCTTGGGCCTTCTCAGACCTCCTCTGACCCTCCCCTGGACTCTCTCTCGACCCTCTCCGAACCTTCCACGAACCTTCCACGAACCTTCCGCAGGCGAGTGGCGTCGAGCTGCACCTCGCAAAGCTTCCCTCCCGCGGCCAGCGCGCCGTCAAGCTGAGCGGCGAGGTGTGGGCACCGCCACTGCCCTCGCTGCACCCGCTTCCAGATAGCCCTGGCCGCTCTCTTGCTGGCATGCCTCCGACGCTGGCCAGCCCCCTCCCCGGGCCTCCCTTTGCGGGGGGCCCCCCCCTTTCCCCCCCCTTCCAAACCCCCCCCCCCCCCCCCGACCCCGCCCCCCCGACCCCGCCCGACACCCGACCCGCCCAGGCGACTGCCGTCGAGACGGTCGCGGCGTTCCTGCGCGCTTGCGACGCGCGTGCGGCGCGGCGGCAGAAGCGGCGACGGCCGCTCGCCCCGCAAGACGCCGCGCGGCGCTACTACGACCGGTACTACGAGGAGGGCGGGATCGTGCTCCTAGATGCGGAGGACATATCCCCCCATATCTCCCCATATCTCCCCCAGATCTCGAGGCCTAGAAGCGGAACACTGTGCATTCTTGTACTCCAACTCGACGCTCGAGAGGACAACCAATCCGCGGGAGTCCGCCGGAGTCCGCCGTACTCACTGTATCCCGTGTGTACGCGCGATGCTCCGAATACACGGCACTGAGGGACCGTCCTCCCGCCCTGACCTCGGTGTGTCTCATGACGCAGGATCGCGTACCGGCCGCCGCAGCGGCTCTGGCACGAGCCGGACGCCGAGGCTGAGCGCTTCAAGTCGTGGGCGGCATACTACCGCGAGCAGGCTAGCGGAGGGGGGCGGGGCTCTGGTGGCGGCAACTGCAGACGCACCTCACCTCGGCCTCTGTCCGCACCCCCTCTCAGGCCGCCGCCGCCGAGGAGCAGCAGCGCGAGGCGGAGGAGGTGCCGGCTGTGCGGCGCACCAAGAAGAAGAGCTGCGGCAACAGCGGCCCGAGTGGCGGGGCCTCGGCGCCGCCCGCAGAGGCGGGGCCGGCGCCGATGCCGCAGGCCAAGCCGGAGCAGGGAGGGGGCGAGGCGGAGCACGCACTGCCGGAGGGCTGGCAGAAGGGGGTGACGCCCGACGGGCGCGACTACTTTTACAACGTGGGCACCGGCGCGACGCAGTGGATCCGGCCCAACGACTACTAGCGCAGGCCGTCTGGGGACATCGGGGGGCGAAGTGCTGCGAGGCGCGGCGAGGCGAGGCGAGGCGAGACGCATATTTTGAAAGGGGGGTCATGGAGGGCACCGACACGTGCACCTTAGCTCTACAAAAGCGGCGAGGACACCTTCTGCATTGTAGACTAAAAACAAAAGCGGAAGAGTCTCTCGGCACTGGGCTCTGGGGGGATGGCGGGAGACCGGCATGTTGTGCGAGTATATGGGACACGATGTCTCAAATATGAGGGGTTTTGACTCCTACCGGCTCCTGACGCTATCCCTGGCAGCTCTAATGACCAGGATCAGTAGTGCTATGATAGAGGGTGCCCATACTAGCGAAAGAGCTGCCACACTCGCCCGGAACGTCCCCTTCTGGGGCCGGTTCTGCAGCCCGCGAGAGCCGACAGCGGGGCCGTGCCGCGGGTGCCTACTGCCGAGTGCCACAAACACTGCGCCGTCCCGCCATCACCTACAGGCTGTCTTGTGTGATGGTTGGGATGTCCAAACGCCACCATCTTGGCTCTTGCGACCTCAAACCCGCGAGCTGTATGGGTGGTCCTGACGTCGACAGACGCCCGATGACCACGGTGAAGCTGAGCCGGAACGAGTCGACAAGTCTCGTCTGAGCCCGTGGCGGTCGCCGGCTGAGTCGCTGTGCACGGGCCGGTACCTCAGGCGTCACCTCCGCAGCCTCAGGTCTCACACTCCACCACCTCCGCCAGGACGCCGTCGGTGGCACGCTCGGCGGCGAGTTTGTTGCAGCTCCACAGCAAGCGCGGCGTCGAGCCTACTCACTCCAGTTGGATCTGTGCACTCCCTGGGTCCCAGGGAGTGCACAGATCCAGCAAGCGGTGCGTCCCGGCAGCGCGCGCAGGCTGCGGAGCTGCAACAAACTCGAGACACGCTTTTTGGGACATTTTCAGTGTACGTACTTTTAGCTTACTGGGAGAAAAGAGAGAGGGGGTTGTGTTCTCTAGGCCCCTAAGGGCCCTACGCGCGGCGCGAGAGCTCGGAAGCGAGCTTTGCACGGCGATCGAGGATGGCACGGTTCACCCCCTTCACCGAAGCGATGGAGATGCGTTCCGCGTGGTGTGACACAAATGAGAGGCGGGAGTGGGGAGGGTACGCGGTGCGGTCAACGCCCGAGCGTTGAGCCTTGCGCGCAAGGCGGTTGATCTTTGCAACTGCTGGCGGCGAGAAGCCGCCGCCGAATGTCTCGTGGAGAAGCAGGTTGAACTTGTTGCGTTTGGTGAAGATCCCATCATGGTAGTGGCCACGCTGTGACTTGACGTAGCCTTGGCCGGTGGTGTGGTCGAACGCCCGTTGACCACGGAACCCGCGTTGCTTGCAGCCCATCTCTCTCTCTCTCAGTGTATGTAGCTCTTACGAACATATTTTCGACGCTTTTGTCCCATATACTCGCACAACATGCCGACCGGAGGACACCTTCTGCATTCCAAATACCACATTAAACTGCACGATGAGAGAGAAGAGGGCGGTCCCGAACGGCCAAAAGTCATTCAGGAAGCAGAAGGGAGGCGGGCAGCAATGAGCAGCTCGAGGGGAAGAAACACACTCCCTGCGCCAATCGCAGCGCCGCCTCCTTGCTTGCCTCCTTGATTCGTCTCGGCTGCCTAGTGTCAAAAACGAAAAGAAAACCGCGCCGCCTCGTTTGCCGAGCGCAGACCGCCTCGTTTGGAGAGCACGGAGCTTGCATTAATGGGACGCTGCTGAATCAAGAGGGGAATCCGCCTCGTTCTGCGACAGAAAACAAGGCCGTGAAATAGACACGCTGCCAACCCGAGCACTTCGCGCGAGCCGCCTGCGACCAACTTGGCTCCTCGTTGCCTGCCTCCTCGTCGCGGCGACGACCCGGGTACGCTCGTCCGCCCGCCCATCCTCTCACTCGCCTTGCGCACGTCAGCTTACATTGTTTGATAGCGCTCAACACTGCCTCTCGCTAAACGCTTGCCATCGTCGCTTGTGCTCCATCTCAGCTAACATCGTCAGTGTCTCCCTGCGGCAGCCCGCCCTTGCGCCGCCACCTTTTTGAGACGAACGAGCCCTTCACTGTGATTCGAGTACTTATGCCTCGCAGGTCTACTGTGATGGACGTGTACTCTGTGTGTGCCTCGATCCAGCCGTACAAGCGCGGCGTGATCAGCTTGCTCCTGCTACTCTCCGTCCTCCCGACCGCTTCAGCCAATAACCCGTCCTCATGCGCCGATATCTACTCGAGTGGGTCGACAACGAGCGGCGGCTATGTGCTGCGTCCGCGCGGCGGCAAAGCCTCGACCGATGTCGACGTCACCGTCTACTGCGACATGAGCACAACGCCGCCCGGCCAGAGCCTCTTTGACATTCCGACGGGCACGATGGCGTTCACCGGCTCGCCAACCTGCTCGATGAACTGGGCCAACGACGACTGCGACAACACGTACATGTGGGTGGACTACTCTGGGCGCGTCAAGGCAAACAATCCTTCCGACACGAACACGATGACTTGGTTTGATATCCCGCGCACCTCATACCCGTCGGCGGTCTCCGACCAGTCGTACATTTGGGGCACGAAGTCGACCTCGGATGCAGATTACCCGTCGTCGCATGCGAGCTCGATGGGAGCGTACGCGAAGCCTGTACCCTTCCCTGGCTCGGGCCACGTCGGTGGCACCGTGGTGTGGTTTGGAGCGAGTGGCATGTACTTCAAGGCGGATGGCGTCGACCACTCGCTCGCATACCCATCCTCGACGTCGTCGTGCCGTCCCGAAACCAGCACAAATTACAACACCAACGTATTCATCACCGATGGCGTGAATACGGTGAGCCTGCTGCGGCGCTCGGGCGGCACTATCAGCTGCCTGACTGTGCTCACCTTCGATTGGACGGCATCAACGTACTCCGACTCGATGATCACCGCGACGACGAGCGCCACGTCAGGAGTCACTGTACCTGCAAGCTGGCACGACACGGAGGAGGATTCGATGGGCGGTGACGTGCTGTGGACCGTGCGCGGCAAGCCCTGCTGGTACTCAAACATGCAGCTCAACCTCGGCGCGAGCATGCAGCAGCCCTTCTACGCAACAGTAGCAAACACCGTCAACATCCCAAGCGGAGGCAATGGCATGACGCAGCACGGCCTGGACATCTTTTTCAAGGTGGACACGACTGGGACGCTGCACGTTGCCGACTGGGGCCACGACAATGGCGGTATGTTCGGCTGCGGCGACGACA